ACGATCGAGTCTGCTTCCCGAGGTATTGGCGATGGTGCCGAAACTGGTTTTGGAGACTGCACGGCTGGAGATGGGGTGGGCCGAGGGGCAGTTGAGACAGGTCGTGGAGCCGAGGGTAACGGCTTCTTGGCTATGCCACTCTTCATATTCACAATCAGGCGTTTGGGTTCGGGAGGTTTGGCAGGCTGCGGCGGCTGTACTGGGGGCGGGGGCGGAGGTGGCAGCTGCTCTGGCACTGGTTCCTTCGGCTTCGCCGATGGCAGCGCTGTCTTGTAATACGATTTGAAGTTGACCATGAACTGCAAACTGTTAGAAAAGCCATTTCGAGGAATGAAGTTGCTTACCCTGCCTGGATGAGGCTTGACAGGACGAGTTACTCTCCATCGCTTCGGAAAGTTGAGAGTAACCGTCCATCGGTCAGCGACATCAAACATAGTCCCACACAGCTGTAAGAGCGTGATCTTTTCAGCGCGGCCAAGAACTTCTGCGTTCAGAGCCTTCCACACTGTTTTTTGCAGCGCCTGCTCGTGGTCCGAGTACTGTTCCTCCATTTCAGTCCTCAAAGCCGCAAGCGCAACATTGACGTCCTGCTTCCTTGCAAATTGCTTCCGCCGCTCCTGAGTCCTTGCTTCGGTATCAAAATCTACTTGCAACTCGTCCCCAATAGGGCCACGTGCGGGCAGTTTGGGCTGAGACTGCTCGCCGAAAGCAAGGGCAGCCAAACCTGTACAGAAGATGTCGATGACCTTGTGTCGGACGAACGGGGACCTGTCGGTGCTAATGACTGACAACAATAATCTGAAGACCGGCATGTCCATCATGAAGCCAAGGTCGACGAGACACTCGAAAGCTTTGATACGCACCAAGTCGTAGGTCCCGTCCTGGAGGTATTGCCAAAAGTTAATGGGGCTTTTGGTGATGACTCCTGCCTTCATCAGCTTCCGCCAGCATTCGAGGGCAGTGGTTGTGTAGATATTTTGGTAAGAACTGTTCCACTCATCCATCCTACGGTGGCGGTCAATCTCGGCCAATACTTCAACGAGCACTGCCCGCTCATCGACCGACGTATCCAGGTCCATCTGATCTCCAGAGTCGCGTCGCTTCTCAGGTACGAGACTCGTTGCTAGAGCGTCGAGGATCTTGGAGTTATAAAAATCTGCGGAGTATGGGTTGTTGTCGTTTTTGTTGGTTGCCAACTCCTTCAGCAAAAGCCGTTGAGCAGGTTCAGGGCACTTGCCGGTCGAGTCGCGGATTTTGGCGATGGCCATGGGCAATGCACACTGGACTATATACTGCTTCTTGTCCGTAAAGTCGTTGTGTCTTGGCTCGCCTTTCTCGTCGCAGAAGAGCTCACGGAAAGCCCTGAGGAGGTGAGTCATGCCTGCCATCCCAACCTTATCTGTGGCGTGTTGATGCAACGTCTCAGCAGCCATCGTTCTTATGCCGTGGAAGTACCGTCGGTCGACGAGGGTTCTCGTCAAAAATGTAGAGACCAGTGGATGTGGTGGGCTCTTTCGCAGGTACAGCATCGAGTCCTGCTGTGCAACGACGTCTCGGTCTTGTTGCAATTGAGAGACGTACATGTAGCTCTGAAGATTGGTCTTCATCTCGCAGGCCCACTCAAAATCAGCGTCCATCCGGATCCATTCGTATGACTCCTGATCCATAGCTTTCTCGATGTCAGGCTCCCATTCTGCAAACTCCCACTTTCTCACGTCTTCGGCGCCGGTCAAGACGTCTCCCAAGCAGTACAATAGCGTTTCCTCGTTGTTATCGGGGTCTGCCGCTGATTGCGCGCTGAGCTTCTCTGTGGCCCGCCTCTTCCTCTTGAGACGCTTGTACTTTGTGTTGTACGGGATTTCGAACTTAGCCGCCTTAGCTGCGTCTTCGCGGATTTCCACAATATGTTCATATGGCGTTCCGTCGGCTTCGTGAATCCTTATCGTCATTGGGCCGGTGAACAGTCCAATCGTTTCCTCAGTCTTGACGCCGTGGTATTTTTCTTTGATAGCACGCAAGAATTCCGTCTTCTTCAGGGTTTGCGCTTCTGCTAGGGCTTTGTCCTGGACTTGTCGGATGTTCATCTCAACGCACAGTCGCTTCTTGTTGAAACGCTGAAACACATCGAACCGTGGGCAGCCAGACCCGTAAACCCATTGGCCCCAAAATGCCTCCAGTTTATTTCGGGCGTTCTTCTCGCATACTCGTTGGAACGACTCCGTGTTGATGATCCACTCGCTCTGTTTTTCTCCAATGTTGGCCTTGTAAAGAATGCGAGAAATGATGCGTGTCAGGTTCGTCTGAGCAGGAGCCTTCATCAAACGCTTATCCAGGATGAAGAGCACCAAGGGGGCTTTCAGAATCATGAACTCCATCTCGAAATCTCCCAGGTGCAGGTTATTGCCGAGTTCATGTAACGATGGCCGTTTGATGTCAATGTTGACCAGCTGGTCTGACATGGCTTTCATCCGGAATCGATAGTCGTTGTTGCCGCAAAGCTTTTTCAAGAAGAGGTCGGTCATGTAGTAGGCGATGCCAATGACGACCCAAAGATCTCTGCGCGTGTTGGGAAACAAGTTGATGCCGCTCCATTGGGACGCCAAACTGAAAACCAGTTGTCTCGTGACATCCACTTCTGGGTCGATGATTTCCTCAGGAAAAAGAAGTCGAGTACTGACGAAAGACATTGACTGTAGGGCCACAGTATCGGTCACCATGTCATCCAAAAAGCACATCTTGTAGCTCTCGAAAGGATACCTGGCAAACGTAAGAGTGAAGAAGTCGGCTGCAGCTGCAAGTGCTGCGCATGTGTTCTGGACCTCTGCTGCTCTTCCGGGCAGGCAGTAGCCATGGATTTTGAGCGCACTAGCGCCAAGCTTCTCGTCATTTTCCTCAGTGCGAAAGTTGGAGAAAAGGTCGACGTGCTCAAAGGGACCGACCGCGAAGCCGATCTTTTGCACCGACACCCTCTTGTCCATCTCGAATGTCATGATCTTTTTGCGTTCATCTTCCGGATCCACAATCTCGTCTGACAACGATCCGGAGCAGACTACGGTCATTTCGAGGAGTTTGTCCTCCTCAGTAAGCAAATAGTCCTTATCACAGGTAGAGTCGCCAACGTGGGCCTGATCCCGGTTGCCGTTTGTAGTACTGTTCGTGTTTTGTTGCGTAGCCAGGGGCTGCCACAGAGCGTCGCCCAGAGTCCTTGGGCATTTGACGGCTATTGACCACGTAGGAAGCTGGCCATGATCGTCAATGCATGGGAAAATGCAAGACGCGGTTCCGGGTTCGATGGAATGTCTTGTGTATGCGTGAGGGTATCTGAGATCTCCAGGATCGACTCCGACGAACTGGATGCCATCTCTGACAAGCTTGGTCTCGAACGGTATCGTCACTCGGTACTCGCGGCTTCCCGACAACTCGCTCTCTGGAGATTCAAAGGAGCTCGGGGTCATGCTCGAGACGCGGATCTTGAGCATTGGCCGCTTCGGTACTCCTGTTCCTGACTCTTCCTTGACCTTTTTAAGGTCCCGTAGGTTGACTCGCAAAGCACCGTCTACGGGCGTACAGCCAACCGTCTCTCTATTCTCGGCGGGCACGTCGCTCTGTCGGGTATGCATGAGGGGTCGCATTCGGATCTTCCTCAGGTCGTGGTGTTCGGCATTCCAGTTGTAGTATGGCGGGTAATCCAGTAACTTATACGGGTCCCGGTAGCTCGCTGAAACTTTTTTAGGGGCGCCAACGGGCTGCGAATCCTTGAGGAACTGCACCGTGACATTCTTGAGATCGATTTCGGATTGTCGCGCGTCAATGGCGAACTCGTCGACGTGAGTGCCGGGCAGCTCGGCGAGCGTGATGTGGGACACTCCACGGATGCGTTTCTCGCGAAAATTGAGCTCGATTTCAACATCTTGTCGAATGACGAAGTAGGGGTATGGAGGCTCGTCTTTCATGGGGGGAAGGTCGTCTTCGGAGTCGCTGGCGATAACCTCCTCAACGGCGGGGGCAGCCGCAGCGGCAGCTGCGTCGAGGTGGTTCATGATGGCCTATGATGCGCTCGCGACGACGGTGTCGCAGGCATTCATCAAGAAAGACGAGGAAACGATCGAGTCGCGATGGGGAGAGGGAGGTAAAGTCGGCAAATGCGGGCGAGGAAGGTGCGCCGACGCGAGGTTCTCAGGTGCGAAGTTTGACGAGGGCCTTCACCATCCTGTCGCTGGGGCCGTCGTTATCGCGAGGTTGGGTTCGTTTTGAGGCAGCTGCGACGGCGAAAAGGCGAGAGTATTATTAATGGAGAGAAGTTTGGCGCGAAGTGAAAAGAAGTCGATCGTCTCGACGGCGGCGAGAAACTGGGCAAGAGGTGGGAGCGGAAGATGAGTCTGCTGCGGCGACCAAACACCGGAATTCTGAGGTCGGCAGTCGATGGTTAGTTCAGGCCTTCCTTCCATGCCTGGTCAGCGCGTCCACGGTCCGCCGCGACAGGACAGCAGACTGGACCTGGATGGAGCTACCACCTTGGCTCCTGCGCCGTTGCGTGGGCCTTTTTTCCCATCTCGCTTACGTAACTTGCAGGCGTGAGTTGTCGGTCGTGCCTTCCACCTCAGTTCGACTGGAGGGGTTGGTCGTTGGAGGGTCTGGTCCGTGCTCATCACTGGGCCTGAGGTGTCGCGCCGGCCGACAAGGAAGCTCAAGCTTTCACGGTCCGGCCTTCACCTTTCCCGCCACTTCTCAGAATCTTCCTCTTGAGGCCTGCAACGGACAATTACGACACAGGTGGCCTTCTCACAACTTATCTTACCTGCGTTTCTCACAGGTCCCTCTTCGTGTGGAGCAATAACATGAGTTTACTTTGCAAAACTTCTCCCTCATCGATTAATTCAAACGCTTGTTCTTGAGCCATGCCACCCAGCAGTCTACAATGATTATGTTACAACACATTGACACACATTTCGCAGGACACTGCGCCAATGGACCTCCTACTCAACACACGGGAAGGCCTGTCAGTGCCTGCCTCGACGATCGCGACGCCTCTTCCTCGCCTGCATCTTCAACGTTTCCTCGTCACGAAACTCTTCGGGGAGATCGAAATCGATCTCGGGTATCTCTGGAATCGGATGTCCCCATGCAACCACTTTACGACCAGCCCGCCTGTGCCGATGCAAGGCCGCGTCTCGCTCGTACCTCTTCTTGAAGAATGACTTGAACTCCTTTGGCGGTTCCGGCTTTGGTGGAGGCCGGGGTTGTATTATCACCCTTGGGCGCTTCTTACTGTTCTTTGCTCCCTTCGACCTTGCTATCGCTTCTTCGTGAAGCTGTTGCGACACAGAGTCATCGTCAGAAGAGCCAGGAGGATCACCGTCACTGACATTGCCAGCGTCGTCTTCCTCGGCATCATCCTCATCACTACCTTCGGAAGAATCCTCGTCACTCGTTTCTTCCGCCTCCGCCTTTTCAGCAAGAGCACGATCCTTTTCGGCTTTGCGGCGCTTCTCCTCCAGACTCCATTGACGGAATCTCTCGAGGATGGCTTGGCAGCCTTTAATAAAGTGCTGCCTCGCCGGTTCGTATTGCTTCTTTCGACTCTCCGTTATGCCACTTACACCCATGACTCGCAGCCAGTCATGACCTTGCAGACCACCCAGCAGACGTGCGATTTGGTCCTTCTCGTGTTGAGCCCGACCACGCTCTGTGTTACGAATAGACTTTTCCAGTCTCTCGGCCCTCTTGTGCGAGGGCACGAAGGACGCATCTGGCAGAGGATCCTCAGCAGGTTCTCTCTTGTGAGAGATTCCGAGGAAATCAAAGTCTATACGCTGTGCATCGACGAGATCGCTGAACAACGCGTCGCCGTATCCGCGCACCGGGACTTTATGTGCGCTGGGCGGGATCATTGAAGCGTCACTCGGCGCGCTGGGTTCTGCACCGGTGAACGGAAGCCATGGTGCCGGTTGAAGGCGTGTGGGGTTCGAGTCAAAAATGACTATCGGGGTATCGACGTTCAGCAAGTCTGCAGGCAACGGGTCAGTAAGTATCCTGTAATGCCGTGCCGATCCGGCACAAGCACGGCAACGGAAAGCATGAGCGTGGAGCATACGTTGTTCTTTTGGATCGTTTCCGATGACCTCGTCATACTCGGGGAAGTACGCTGACAGCTCGCTCTTGAAACGAGTGGCCTCTTGCGAGCGCAGTTTGCGGCCCCCCTCCTTTGTGTGGGTATCGGCCTCGCGGGGCTGCAAACGATCCAACTCATGTTTAATGCCGTTGATGACTTTTTCTTGATGTTTTGTCAACTGCGGCGCATTGTCGGTCGCGGGGGTCGAGGGGGCTTTCAGGGGATGCACTGTCGCGACGTGTTGTTGCACGGGTCTCGGGGTCGGCCTCGCTAGGGGGGTCGCCTGAGGCGTCGTCGTCGTCGGTTGCGGAGTCGGGGTGGTGGTGACGTTGTGGGCGGCAGTCGCGTTCGCAACGACGGGCTTGACGGGCTGGGGAGCAGGTTTGATGAGGATTTCGATGCTCGAACGCGATCTCTTTTGCTTCGGGTGGTCGAAATCGACGAGATCGGCCGTGTCGAGCTGGCGCTTGGTGCGACCGGGCAGCTGGTGGTGGTAGGCGGAGATGTTTTGGGGGGCGGCGCGCGTCACAGTGTTCGCTGCGAAGGCCTGCTGGTGCTGGTGCGTCGGCTGCTGCTGGACGGGGACGGGATGGGGATGGTGAAGGGAATGGGGATGAAGCCCTTCAGCGTTGGCCCTCCGGGTGGAGCGCGTGAGAGAGGCCATGGGCGACGATTGAATAGCCATTCATTGTATTCCCGTCGGCTCGTCGCGAGGGCGATTGACGTGTCGATCGATGAATTTTTTTCTGCCGCTTTTTTTCGTCTCGTGTCGTCGTTGATGCGATGCGGGAAGTGGCCTCTCGGGCACCTCTGGCAGGATTTTGGGGGTTTGATTCAGCTTGCTCTCTCCCCTTTGGGGGGCTTCCTCGCTGCAATTGGCACTGTCCTTCTTGGGGCGCGTCGTCCTCTGCCAGTGTGCCCAGTGCTGCGACTGCCTGCCTGGACCAGTGTTTGCGTCCACCACGGTGATGCCTGCCTTTGTTGGACGTAGTGGGTGGCCGCTGGACTGACAGTGGCTCAATGCCCATCGGCGGTACCGAAGGAGGTGGGAGAACCTGTGACCACGATACTTGTGTCGCCACCGAGATTATGTGGCGAGTGTATGTACATCCCCCATCTTCCCGGATGCAGACCTCTCTTCTCCTCCCTCGCGTCTCTGCTTCCTGCAGCACCACCTCACCTGAGCTCGCCCCTGGATTGGAAATTCTGCCAGCCCGACGTCAATGCATTGTCTTGAAATCGATCATTCCATGGCCAAGAGCACTAGGGTGTTTGAACCTTTGCCGTACTTTGCGAATGCATTGCGACCGGAGTCAGTCGTTGTTTTCCCACATTTTTTATCGTCATTACATCATACACAGCAGTCGATTTGTGGTCGCATGTCTGGAGACATCATGATTGCTCATTCAGCTTGCCTTAGTATTGTGATCCCGCAAAATGACAAGCACTTCATCTTTGGGTATGGCGCAAAAAGGCGCTCAACTTTTCATTCTGGCTTGCAGCAAACATCAAGGTTTGCGCCCTTCGAAAGATGCACGCCCGCAGTCATGGACAACAGACTGAACGAGAGAAACCACGACGGTTGATGTCATCATCATGTGTTATCACTTTTTTGTTCGAAAGTCCCATATGTCTATCTGAAGCAAATACTTCTTAATTGACCGCAGCCATAGAGCTCTCAAATCTTTAAGAAAGCTTCGTGGCCCGCGTTCCTCAGTGAGCTCCCCTAAATATTCGTCGAATATTTGAACAGAAAGGGGTACGAGAGGCAACATGGTGGGTTTGAAGGTACATGCAAAACCATATGAGAGGATAAAAGACAATATTTGACACCCAGATGCAGAACTTACACTTCATCTAGAAAAACATCTACAAGAACCAACATTGTCAAGGTAGAAAATCACAGCCAGGATTGCACAATACATGCAAATTTTACCTAGTTACTTCGAATTACATCCACGAAGATAGTTGACAGAGACCTTTGTCAATAGAAGTCAGAATGATAAGACGAGACGACCAACCTATTTCTCGGCCATCCCCCAGCTTGAATTTGTCACAGCTCACAGCGAGCAATTTGCTGTCTCAGACTTTCGTGAAAGAAACATTGTCTTTCAGCTTTAAATCATGGTCGAAAGCAAGCGGTGGATCTGTGTCGGGGAGGCATAGTATTCTCTAATTGACTTATGCAGCTGAAGGGAGCTCAACAAACTCCATCTGGCGAAGAAAGCCGTGTTGTCGAACATCAGCAGCTATATAGGAGCCAGAGATTTCCATATATATGATTTGGTATGATTCGTGAGACTCGTTTTGACCGTGATATTACAACAAACCCCTACGGCGTGGTAAGCTGATACACATGTCCTTTTACAAGGGCCAATTTTGGTAGACGACAACTAAGTACCATGTGATTTAGTGTCTATCATTGTTGTCAACATATAATTTTATTCTTATTCCTACAAGCCACATTCATGTCGCGTATCAACTTACATATCCGTAATAGTAAGGACTCGAAGTAGGCACCCTGGCAACCTCCTTCAGCAGGTTGATGCAAAATTGGGAAAGTAGCAAGCGAAGTCATGCACATGAGATTCGTGCCATCATCAGCTGCTATAGGATTGCAAAGTTATTTACCATAAGTCATAAAGACCTTCTGCATATGGGATACCCCTCTTATGTAACGCACCCTGCCCTTGTGGCCCGCGAAGCAGTTGATGCTAGTAATAGCCGTATTCCTCATCCCCCCCCCCNCCCCCCCCCCCCCCCCCCCCCCCCTCTCCTTAAGATAGTTCTATAAGAAACTTCTTAATCCAACTTTCTTTCTTTCTGACTTCCTTCAACAATGAGGACCAAGCAACCCCAGTGGGCAGGTAACCCTTTGCGAACGCAAAATCAACGAAAGGGTACATAGACCGATCAACAAAGATACGTATGAAAATCTATGTCTAACCATCGTACATGCTACTTCTCCCCTCCACTGACCGGCTCTCCCGTCGCGCAAGTATTGTTTCGTATCTAACGGATAGCACTCCCGTTTCTCGACTCGTAATACCGAGCCAACGTGAAGCAACTGACAGCAGAATAAGTAGTCAGGATACTCCACCAAAGATGTCCATGGAAGATACCATAGGAAAAAACAAGACAAAAAAAAAAAGGAGTACTTCGTCGCTCCAAGACACCAAACCAGAGCTTCCAGTGCTGGGTTTGGAGCAGAGCCGAAGAGGGGTTTCCCCATTCATGAAGAAAAAGACAGATTTTGCGATTTGCTGTTTCGCGTATCAAAATCCCAACTTCGCCCTCGAGGAGAATCAATAATATACCATCTCTACCTAATACGAAACGTGACAGACTATACTATCTCGCATACAACCGGCATATTCAAAAAGGTTTAGTCGCACTAGTTTTTCTTTGTCGCTGGCCGCAGTTGATGGAAGTACTGGAAAATAATAACAGCCGTCCACCAAACCTAGCAGCCATAGTTCAGTCTAATACTCTCACATCGAACACGTCTGGAGAATAGTTCAGCAGAGCCGATGACGGACAGCTATACCCCACAGCATCCTGAACCGCAGCTTCGACGTCGTTGTCGCTGCGATATAACATAGCGCATGGTTTACTCCCCATCGCGATGTTGGCACCACATTGTCAACAGGCAGTCCAGCTCGCTCTTATGTTGATATGCTGCAAACTACCTTGCAACCCTTGGTCGAAAATCAAAGATCAAAGGAGCTATTGATATATGAGAAGCATCTATATCGGAGCCCCGTCGTCACACGTAGTCTCGAACAGTTCCAACATGGACTTTCGTGATGTACTAGAGTCAATGGGACTCGATTAATTGTTGTCCAAAATATCTGTGAGGACCGTTCGGGAATCTCGCGGAGCAAACTATCGGGAATTCAACATTGGTAGGACTCTGGTGCCTTGGAGACAAGCCGCCACTCACACAGCGCGAGACACTTGGAACCCCTCACAATTAGATTTTATCTGGTGCTTTGCAGAATGTCGTGCCACTCTGTCATGATCACCACATCAACCTCACTACCCGAACCCGCAACATACTAGGTGGAACGTTGAATATTGAACAATGATATTATGCAAAAAGGGGCTCTTTTTCGCCCTACTAAATAGTTATAGTACTTATAAACGTAGTCCAGTCATGCCAGTATCCGCGGCATGCTCACCCTCAGCGCCGAAATAAAAAGAACAACAGCGCATGCAATGTTGAAATTGGGATCAGCCTCCTGCAACGCCGACTTCAATGCAAAATAAGCTCAATCGTATCCCTCTCAGCCGCAGCGAGACGTGCTGTAGTTTCCTCTACTCAAAGTTCCCTCCTTCTTCGTCATCGACATTCCCATGTCGGTCGTTGGTGTTGAATCACCTCTATATTCGTCTTCGCAGAACTTCGAGATTCTACTCCTTCTTGAAGCCGTTCGCAGTGCCGTTGAGAATCGGCCCCGTCTGCGCAGCCAGAAGCGCCTGCTTGTTCGCGAGCTGCTTCTCCTTGGGAATCGTGAGGGCGTTGATTCCGAGGAAGTTGCAGATGCTGGTGATAACGAGGTAGGCCCAACGGAAGTAGACAACTGCGGAGAAGATGAAGTAGCCGTACAAGTAGTACAGCTCCGTTTGGGCGCTGATGGCAGAAATGCCAATGACCGGAAGGTTGGCAAGGCACGCACCTCCGACGAGGGGCACAAGCATGACGGTCCAGTAAGGGAACGGCTGCTTGGTCAAGTGAGCAAGAATCATCTTGGTGGTGAGTCGACCAAAAACGAAGGCCATGGTCAGGCAGAAGAGGACGAGGTGGTTCTCAGTGCGGAGGGTCGTGTAAGGCGAGTAGATCCATGCGCCAATAGCGAGGGTGAACACTGCCATGGGCGTCCACTCCAAGAAAACGGGAGCCACAGGCTCGCCACGCGCGCGACGGGCCTTGATGACGTGGAGGACGCAGAAGGGAATATGGGTCGCAAACAAGGAGAACACGATCATTCCGATCCAGATGTCACGGATGGAGGTCTCGCCCAGAAGGTGAGCAAAGCCGAACATGTACTTCTCGTGACCCTCCCAAAGCTTAATAATGGGCTGGGTCCAGATACCAGGGCCGTAGATACCAGAGACAACCATGACACTGCAGGCGATCAAGATGCCCTCGGTAGGGCCGTTGATTCTGCCCAAGTACAGAGTGTGGGTGTGGTACGTCTCCCATGTCGAGAAGAACATGGGCAGGCAAGGGACGAGCGCCGTGAAGACGCCGGACTTGGAGCAGCCGAGACCCATGGCAGCGGTCTCGAGGAGACTGGCCAAGGTGCAGTTCAGGGAGTCGATTCCGTGGTCAAAGAGCTCGCCGAGTCCGCTCGAGGTTCCTGTTCGGCGGGCCTGCTTTCCATCGAGGTTGTCCATGGTCTGGTACATGAAAAGACCGAAGGCGAAGCTGAAGTATAACCATGACGGAGCCTGCGCGTCGTTAGCAGAGCGTTCACTGCGATAATCTTTCCCGACTCTGTTTCAACATACCGGTCCAACCAAATCAGGCATGAAGACGACCAGAAGGCCAATGTTTCCGAGGATGAAGAAGAAGCCCAGCAACGTCACCATGTTTGGCGCCAGCCATAGCGGCAAGAGCTCGACGGAGGCGTTCCACTGCGAGCAAGCTGTGTTAGCAGG